AGCAAAAAAAACAAAAAAAAAACAAAAAAAAACACACAAACTAAAAAATAAACAGACACAGTTACATGTGAACATCATGAGTTTGACTCAACCAGCAACAAAACATACACGTTGTTGAAGGCTTTGATTAATAGCACGGTCAAACCTAAAGAAATGCCCACGGGTAATAGCATTAACCTCTGCCTCACTGGCTGACCTTCACCAGAGGCAGAAAAGTAAATTTAACCTTTTCGGGGAGGAGGAGGGGGGCTATCAGATCAAATGTTGTGTTCCTGTTTATGTACAATACGTAAAGATGTTTTTCTCTAGAAGAAAAAAAAAGATTGTGTGTTTATCTCGGTTATGCCTCTGCTGTAGTTTTCTGATCTTCGTCTACTTCACAAAGTTTTACTGTTTGCTAGTTTACTGGTGGGTTTTAGTTGCCATGAAATGATTGGGTATATGCGCTGTCATGCAATAAAGCCTGCGATAATTAAAGTTGTGACACACTTGATTTTCCATATCCAACATTTGTCGCTGCGTAAGTGGTTCTGTCACTCTGCCTTATTAGCGCTCGATGATTACTTGTTAGCTTTGGATTAAACAGTGGCTGATGGAGATGCTGTGCATTTAGAAATGAGGATCACAAAGACTCTGACAACTGGTGGGCAATTTCGCCCATTTTGAAAATTAGATTGACGAATAAAAGATTGAAAAAAAAACCCACCCCAAAAAACACCCAAATCATCGCTGTAACAATTAGGTGTTATTTCAGATGTGACTGAAGCCAAACAATAGTCTACATTCACAATTAAAAAGGCCTAATGTTATGCAAATTAGAGCAGCTTTTATGCTTTTCACAGCCTTGTAACAACGGGATTTAGCTGCACAAAGCAGGGAAACCAAAAGGGAGCTTTTCAAACCTCCATTGTTACTAAACCCCCCGTGGACGTACAGTGCATTCTGACATTTTCCAGCTTCATCTCCACTGTGTACATAACCATAAAGCCTATTGATGGACAAGAACCAAACACTACAATTTATAACTTTTAATCTGCGGCACCTAAACCTCAAGCTCTTTGACATATAAGAAACAAACTGTGTTTTTTTTATAGTTTATTTCCAGGGCTAAAGAAACATTTCTTCCTATAGAGTACATCCTTAACTGAAAATAAATTAAAATAGAGTTCTACTGCAGCCACATTGTGTTGAATAAATTATGCTCCAGTTTATATTCGATTACTCTAGTGGAACTGCAATGTTCCCATGGAGGAAGCTGGGTCATCAGGGCACCGCAAAAAACAGACAGAAATAAAACAGGAAGTCGCCGCTAATGATGGTTAAAATATTAGGTGGAGATGTAAAATGGGATTTCAGGTCAATGAAAACAGATGGCTCTGTTGTTGGAGGTCCCTGAGTGCTATCATCATGAATAAGTAAAACGACATATGATCCAGTTTTCCAGCGTATTCCTAATAAAGTAGGTTAGCAGTTTCTCTGAAGTCCAGATCCAGTAGTCACACTTTTTCTCTCTGGGTCTCTTAGTTTTATTCATTGTTTCAGTTGTTTTTCTGTCTCGCCATGTGTTTCTCTCCAGGGTGCTCCGCTCCCAGCCTCGTGTCCATGACCCTTTGTCCACCTGTCCCAGGTGTCCCTGCCTCTTCCTGTTCGTCCTGCTAGTTTTTTTTCCTTAGTCTGAGTGAACCAGCATTTCTCTAGTGTCCCCTGTGTGTCCAAGGCATCAGCAAGTTAACTGATCCTGCCTTTAGCTTAGAATTTTCTGCTTAGCAAGATTCTGCTTAATTACCACTACCACAGTGACCAACGCTGATGAAGGGACATGCTGAAAGTGATGGAATATTTACTGGGTGTTTTTGGTTCATGTTGCATTGCTTTTGTAATGATATTCTGTGGCTGTGTTTGATCATAACCTCCTTTTACTGCACTTTTTAAAAATAATGTACATGTAGTCTTAGATTCGTTGTAATCTTGTTGACCTGTACTATAGCATTAGGAATAAAAATATGGTTTAAGGGACAAACCTTGGTCTGGAATTTCTTCTTCCTGTCTGGCAGTAGGTAGATCTTGACGTAAGGGTCAGAGAAGCCGTTGGCGTCCTTTGCTGGCAGGTCCAGGGCTTTCAGAATCTTCACCACTAACTGCTCCGTGCTAACACACACACAAAACAATATTAGACTTTTCAAATGTTCAAAAAAAAGTTGTACAAAACACATATTTACTCAAACACTAATTCAGGATTACTCCACACCTGTGCAGGTTTGATATGAACACAGTAGCACCCGAGGTGCTGTGGTGGCTGTGGAGCAAAGAATAAGCAAAAAATGGTGTGTTTGTGTTTGTGCGTCATCCCTGCAGCTGTACCAGTGCTGCACTTTGGTAAACACACACAGATGTACAGACAGCGAGACAGAGTCTGGTCAGAGCTGAGCTCATTAATTTGTTTTAACACCGCACCTGTCATTGCCTTTATGTGCCGCTGATAAGTATGAACAGAGCGGACAGTGTTGATTAAGTTACCAATTGATCTGACAAATCAGATTAGACAAACTGCTATGGATTAAATTGTCTTTTTTCAGAACCTAATATACAAGTTTCTTATTTGTGAGAGAACAAATTAAAAAAAAAAAAAAATCACCACAGACAAGACATCAATAAAATACAGAAGATTAATTCAACAAATCATAAAATAAACATTGTTATTTCATTAAGTATTAATAGCTGACACGCTGAGGGTCAGGCTTCCCACAGGGAAAATTACAACCATAATAACATTAGCAGTTTCATCATCAACATCCCCTGTCCATTAAATTGGTTTTCTTTCTTTATCAAATTTTCAGAACAAACTCAGCCTCGGCTGTTCCTCAGATCTGCTGATTCTTTAGGTATGTCCAGTGCATCTTTAACCTTTGTTTTTACCTTCAGCTCAGCCTCCTGTTTTTGAGAGTCTCGCAAAAGGAAACATGGCTAAACATACACAAAATTAAACAACTGTTCTATTTTTCTCACACCGTATTTGTATAAAGTCATGTTCTAATTTAATAATATGGCTTACAAATATATTTGAACATTCAAAAGAATGTTGAGGTTTTTATGTGAAAACTAAAGTTTTGAAAAATTTATATCAATGTTTTTAAATTATGTTTGCCTCCGGAGTCTTAACACACCACTTCACTGGCAAGTACATTTACACCACACTGCAACTGTACTGCCTGAAACATACATGTTACTGCATATAAAAAGCAGAAATAAATTGTTGACTTGCAAGTTAGACCCTTTAAAAGCAACAAACCAAGCACATGTGCACATGTAAGCACCGCAGCAGGACTGCGAGCTGTTATTTGTCACGCGAGTGAAAATTCAAGTGAGAGGATACATATGAAGAAGCGGAAAGGCACATACACACGTCAACATCCGCTGTTATGGCTCAGACTCACGCACTGTTTATCACGTATTTAATCAGCAGATGAGATGAAGGAGAGGTGGGCCTTTAATCAGACCTTGTTAGGTTTTGTCCCTCTGCGTTAACCCGTGTGTCAGCACTTCATTAGCTTACGTGAGCGAGCCACATGGACGTTAGTGTAGAATTAGGTTCAGCCGGGCAAGCGCTTAGCTTGACCTGGTGATGCCGAAAATGTTCACCTTCCATCTCAACCAGTCACAAATAAAATGCCTTGGTGACAATACAAGCGTGGCAAATTGCGCAACACCGTTACCTCTGCGTCCTATCCAATTAGGCCAATTACAACATGACCCTTCTGCAAATCAAATCAGAGAGGTGATCCACACAGACAGGTTCAGCTGGAAATTTAGATACAGATTTACTGTAAACCTTTGACTAATTCAATAAGGTGTGTAATGATGAGTTTAACCAGTAACATTTAGTGACATCCTGGTGGTAAACATCTGGAGTCATCTGTAATCGACCAGAACAGAAATCTTTGTCTTTCTGACCTTTACACATTTTTGCGTGTTTGTGACAAAAATTCTATTTCCACTGCAAAGTAACATCAAAAAAATAGTCTCCCACCTAATGCTAATCGTAGCGACAGCTGTGTTGTAAAGCTATCTTTCATCAATGGTACAACCCTTTATAGTTCATGTCTTAGTAACATAAAAGGGTTGGCTGAAGACACACACACAGACACACACACACATACACACACGACTGTACCTGTTATTGCTCTGCTCAGAAGGCCGAATTCACAGCCTTATTCCAGGTGGACAATGCCTGCAAGCTAGCTGCAATTCCCACAGTGGAGATGTGTCAGCTCTTAATGGGATTGTCAATAGAGATACCTGTCCCAGAGGATCAGAGGGAGATTGACACTGTTGTTCCTACTGTTGCTCACTACAAGTAGGATTTCACACATTAACATCACCGCCTCATCACTGTCGCAGTGGCGATACACCTTCACGGGTCTCTTTGCACCAAAACACGCAACGCCACCTTGCAGTTCTCATCTCTAACCCATCTTCTGTCCCTCCCTCTGTCCTCCTCCTTAAACAAGAGCCCCGCAGAGTAAAGACAAGCAGCCAGAGCAGCACATTAACTATTCTGTGACTTTATAAATGGGCAAGAAAAGGACACAGGAATCGTTTTCATCGAGACCCCCTACCCCCCCTTCCAATCGGAGCCTCCTGTTAATTCTCCTTGTCTGTGACTCTGGCTATAACACGGTCTGCTGTTATTATGTGTTGACAGGGTCTGCTGTTCAAAGTGGCTGCTCATATATAATTCATGACTCTAACGGCCTCTCGCTGCCTCCCTTTTTCTGACCATCAGCACTTTCGCCTCTTGCAATGTTTCTACATGTCATGGTGGGCGGGAATGGGGGCTGCCCAGCTGAGCCACAGACGGCTCTGTACCCCGCAACCCACAGCGTCCATGACTAACAATGCACACACACACACACACACACACAGATTCATAAGCCCATCTTCTCTAACAGTGTGGCACCTGGACCAATTACTTACAAACTCTCCAGCGAAGCATATGTAACTAAGAGTCATCAAAGGAGCAAAATAAAAAGGAGCCACAGTCATCTGAGCCGATGCACACTGCACAGCACACACCACTATGTGACTTAAGTTTAATGGCACAGCTTTCTTACATTTAAACATTCATGAGTTGAGGATTATAACCATGAACACAGGAGACTGCTGTGAACACACGTCTCAAACAAACCTGTAAATAAGAAGCACTTTTCTTTTTCTTCTTCAAAAAGAAGTTGAATCCAGGCTTCAGTGTCACAGAACCATTTTTGTTGTTGTTGTTGTTGTGAATTCTAGTGAAGTATAAAAACCACACTGAAAGATATTGTTCCTGGAAGAGCACAGTCTCTGTTCTCTGTCATAAAGAATTCCGGTGAAACTTGTGTGAGTTTGCATCCATCTAACTTAAAGCCTTTGAGAAGTGCTGCAAATGCAGACACATCAATGCCGAGTGAAGAAACGCAAAAAAAAAAAGTGTAGTTACACCCATCACTGAGCCCCTCAAACTGTTTTAGGTTCAAGTTCAAGGTTTAAATTCTTCCTCCGATGCTTCGTCTGCCGTCACCGCAAACCACAGAAACCGGGGTTCATTTATTCTACAATTTTTTACAGCAAGGCTGCTGCACCACGGACGGCGATTTCAGTAGAAAACATCAGGCTCTGTGATAAAAAGTTGAAGCTACATAAAAAAAGCTCACAGGTGGACATTAACCCTGACTCCCAAGGTGCACTTTGGCACAACTCATTAAATCACTGAGATTCACACTCTGCAGCCACTTAAGTCAGAAAACAAAACCTGCTCCTTATATCACTTCACGTTTCATTTTCTTTGCTTCTCGTGGATAAATGTGCAGCAATAACTATTTTAGATTTTTACTATTTTGACTGTGAAAAAATTGTGCAATTACAGCAATGTTCATGATTGTATTGGGGAGAATTAAAGTAGTAAATTAACAGAAAAAAGATCACATGTTGGTAAATACCAGAGTCAATTCTTTGAATAAATCACCGAAGCATTGCTCTGCAGACACAGCATGAACTGTATGTGAATGACTGTCCTGTCACTGCAGTCCAGATGTGACTCTTGTATAAATTAATAGTGTCATGAATGGAAGAAAAAGTGAAGATTGGCTTCATTTTCTTTTTTAAAGTAACACTTTGTGAAGATTTAGTTTGTGAAATTATTCATTCGTGTGAAGACTCACTTAAAGGCATAACGCAGGAGAAAGCTGATCTTGCCGCAGGTGTCGCCCAGTTTGCCCTCACCCTGGTCACCCTTTGGTCTGTAGAGCTCTGGTTTGATCTGCCCAATACTGGTCACCTGCTCTTTCTCTTCACCATGGAAATCAGGACTGGAGAGCTGTTGAGTCATGGGCTTGGGCCTACACAGAGAGAGTGAATATTACTGGAAATGGATGAGACGGACACACACACACACAGACGCTAGTATCCTGCAGCCTAATCTCACACACTGTAGTAAAAACATCCAAAAACTGTTTACCAGTTGTTTAAACCTACAAGCGTTGTAGTACTATCAAAGAGAGCCATTATACTGAATGGGCCTCAGGAATGTTAACCACAAACAAATACAGTGTCTGCTCAGCCTTAATGTTCAGGACCCAACATCTAAAACATAATTAAAATGACTGAGACTAGTTACTGCATCTACTAAAAGGATTTGCTTTTAAAACAAGCCGCAAAAAATACCATCGTTCCACTTCTCAGTTTACCCCCTAGTTAGTTTTCAGTTCTATTGATGACTGATAGACTGAATGTTGATCATGAGTTTATCAAGAATATAAATAATGTGACAACTGGTTTGTTCTGTCTGGTATTTTTGTTGATTCAAGCCTTGTCTTGTTTTTTGGGGTGTTCTTTTGTTTGTTTGTTTTTTAGCCTTGTCTTGTTTTGTAAAGTCCTGTCTTGTTTTTTAGTTGTTTTTTTTTTTTTTTCTAGACCTGGCTTGTCTTTTTATTGTTTTTCTTCTTTTCATTTTGTTGTCTCTTATCCTGTGTTGCTTTTTTGTCATTTCTTATCTTTTCTTGTCTTGTTTGTCTTACAAGTTGGCTTCTCTTTGTCTTTTTTATTGTTTTTGTTCTTGTCCTGTCCTGTCTTGTCCTGTCCTGTCCTGTCCTGTCCTGTCATGATGCCAATGTTATGAATGAGGGTTAATTTAGAGGAAAAACCAACATAAAGAAAAAACTTCACTGTATGGAAAATCTCAGTAGAAGATAAAGTAAACCTACACCCAGGTGTGATTCTTAGACATGTAACATGTAAAATACAGCCACACTCCAATCCAACACCAGGTACTGACCGTGGGGTGACCTGCTGTTGGGAATGAGCATTGGGCAGCTCTTTTTGTGGGTGGGCTCCTCCCTCGGAGTTGGGGACGTCGGGAGACGTCTGACTCAGCTTCAGAGTTCCTACCAGAGATTTGACAGTTATTACAGTAGGGCTAACAGCAAAGCAACAAGTCATTTTCTGAACTCAGAGTCAGGAGTATTGATCCCATTGATTGTATTAGAGTGGTTTTCAGGACACTGATTTAACAGCCGAGAGAAGGGGGGGAAAATGACCAGACATATTTACAGCAGAACACGAGTCAGCACCAAAGACAGACAACCTAACAGTAACAAAGGTGGCTGAACAACGTTTTACCGTGGGCGGAGATAAATAACCTTCACGGCCTTTCTGACGGCATGAATGTTGCCATGTTTGGAGTTTCTTTTCTTATATTATTTGTTCTTGTGGATCACATGACATGAAATGACCTGTATCATAAGCTTTCTGCAATGAATCCCTTAGAGTTACTTTAATCTATTTTCATTGATATATTTAAAGGCCACAGCTAATTATTTTACATTGAGCAACAACTTTAAATGCTGGTGAAAACATCTAGATTTGGGTTCTCAAACTATGAGCTGAGGGCCATAGCTGCCACTGTCACTTCATTGGAGGGACACATCAGTGTTGAAACAGAGGTTTTTGTTTGATAGAATTACTGTACTCTAAAGGTACATAGTGCATTTCTTTTTTTAAACATTTTTATAATTAAAAAGAATTGGGAAAAAACAGGGGTATAATTTAATTTTTACTGACAATAAGCTACAGGCCAGATGTGGAGGGTTGGCAGAAAATCATTTATGATTGAAAGAAAGAAGTGGAGAATTTCTCAACTGAAGTGGAAAGGTTTACTATAGTCTATAGTTTCATATGGTATATCAAATATGCCAACTGTTGTGTTTAGAACTTGTTGGTAATCACAAACAGAGACGGAATTATGGGCCTACTCTGCAGCTCTGGCGAGCTTCTATACAAATCGTGTGGACACTCCTCACATCAGGCTCAGCAGCAGCTTTGTTTAAAAACCAGTCTTTGGTGAACCTCAATGATAAAGGTGAGCATTTAGCAGCTAAAGAGGAGTGGAGTGATTATTGCTGTTCTCGAGTGAAATGAAACACTGAGGGTGGAACCATCAGGTGGACTTACAGAAGTTTGTTTTTATATTGTATTTTTTTTTTTCTAAAGCAAAACTGTTATTTCCAGCTCAATAAATCCCGACCAGGAGACTTGTCAGGATGAAAAAGTAACATTCAGCGGCTTAGCAGAAAAGAAACCCATTAGCGTGTACGATAACGGCTCAGATCCATCACATTGTTGCAGCACAGATTAATTAATTTTACTATATTTTGGTAAATAAATACAGTAATGTGAGTAGATAAGTTACCAGGTGAGGCATTTCGTAACTCCTACTCTTAAAGAGACAGTAGCTAATATTTGTAAGAGGGCTTCTTTTCTCACCAGCATTGTTGTGGCAGGAGTCCATGTCCAGGTAGGAAGGTTCCTGGGTCTCAGTTGGACCCATGCCAACACCTCCGATCTCCCCCCTCTCCAGGCCCACCAGGTCAGCGAAGTGGGGATGGTGCTGACTCTGCTGGCCCAGAGAGGGGTAAAGAGAGGAGGACGAGTGGCCCTCCTTCCTCTGCAGCAAAGAGGGTAACAGTGACGACCCCCCAGTGCCGAGGCCTCCGACACCAGCAGTTCCAGGCAGCAGGCCCGATGTCAGACTCAGGCCTCCACCCTCGTTGTCCCGCCATGGCAGCCAGCACAGCTTCCATGAGACAAATAAGGAGACGGAGAGGAGGACGATGCCACAAAATGTCACGATGACTGACAGCAAACTAACAGAGATCTCTAAAGAGAAGGAACAGGAGAAAGTGATCTTTAATTTCGTTAGTCTGATCCGCAGACATAGGAGATGTTCAAGTGCTAAATGTGGAGACAGTCGTACTAGTCCTACAGCCTCTGAGACCTGGCAGCATATCACTAAAGTCCGTTAGATTCATCGCCTCTGAAACAAGATACTTGGCAGTCCATCCACAGCTGGATAGAAGGGGTGGACAGATCGACCAGCCAGCAGAAATACAATGCCACCCATAGTGGCGAGTGAATAGTGTCGTGTATTCACACATTTAACCCAGAGTTATTTCTGTGGCCAACAAATCCCCAGCAAAATCCTTAATCACCCGTCACTGGTATATCAAAACCACTTTTCACACCACATTATCAACATCAATATATGCATCAGTATACTGTAAACACACTATAGAGCAGAAGAGAAAACCTGCAATCTGATACAAAACCATCCAACTTTTTTCTGAAGTAAAATAATGTCAAATACTAGAGGACATAATAATATGAGGGCGAAGGCAAATTAGCAGGGGAAGCATAGGTCTGACGCAGCGTGTAGTATAATGAAAAAAAGGAGGAAACACAGAGACTAGGGCTGCTCCCTGTATGAAAACTGCCACACTGTCCCTGGTAATGATGAGGTTCTTAAATCTGTAGTAGAGGCAGAGGGATGGAGGTAAGGATGGGGATGTGGGTGTTAGAGAGGGTGGGGAATGACTCATGCGGGTTAAAAAAAAAGTGGGCTACAGTATAAAAGAAAAGTGCTGTTTCAGCACTAGACTGGTGGACAGTTCCAGCAACAGCTACTATCAAAGGGAGGGAGAAAGGAGAATCAAGAGCCAAGATGTTTAATGTTAAACTAAAATTTTAAAAAATTAAAATTCTAAATTTCTGTCAAATTTGTATCAAATAAATTATAGTCAAAAATACTGGAATAATTTAGGATTTCCCTGAAGTAACATTCCTTAGAAAGTCATTAGTTTTAATCTCATCAAACGCAACTGATCTAATCTTTTTAACCTATTAGTGTAGAGTTTGCAGATTAGGATAAAGAGATAAGAGCCAATGGCTTAGTCTGTCCTCTAGAACAAGATAATACAACCAGACTGCCAACACCTGCCTTCTCAGCTGTAACAGCCTCTTAAATAGTGAATGTATTTCTGTTTTACTGTGAGGACGAAGAAAAGACAGAAAGACATTGAAATGAACAGTCCAAAATATATTGGATATTGCTGAGGTTTTCTGCAGTCATTCCCTGATGGTCAGCAGTGGTACAGGACCTGGGGCTACATTTCAAGGTGGCTTCAAAATTAGGACTTGGAGAAGATTTATAACTTTCAAATATCAGGTTGTTTCGTCTGTCCCCCTAAGTTCAGGTTGTTTCCTCCTTCTTTAGTTTCTACTTATTGTCATTGTTTATTGTGTTTGTCCCAACCTTTGACCACAGTCATTTCTTAACCTTCCGTACCTGTTTGTTGTAGTTGAAGAAGTACGTTTTTAAAAATCGCTAAATATTCATTTTTGGTAGGACCTATTCACTGATAGCTATCCTATTAATTAACGAATCATTGAATACTAAAATGATTTGGGTGGTGGTCGTGGTGACTGCTGCCCCCGCGACCCGGTAACGGATAAGCGGATGAAAATGGATGGATGGATGGATGAATACTAAAATGAGAGGAAAACCGTCAACGTCACAATGTCACATGACTACTCAAAAACAAATTTATTACAAAATAAAACATAAAAGGATTCATTTTTATTTCTTTCATACAATCCTTTTGTTTTATTGAAATATTTAAAATAGTACTTTTAATAATACTTTTTAAAATATTTGTACTGGCCATATAATAGACTCAATCTTGTGACATATTTCAGCCAATGGGGAGTGCCTAGGGCAGAAAGACAGGTAGTTGTATGTGTTTCAAACCTGTTTGTATTTGTGACTGAGCCAAATGATGGAATAATTAATATGGTAAAAGTCCCCAAATCTTAACTTTAAGACTTTTCTTAAACCATCATTTGGTATCCTGCATTTGAGTTCATCTGCCTGAACACTACACATGTATCTCCAAAACCCTAGTGATGTGTTCTAGTAATGTTCTAACTTCACCAAAAATAAAGTGGTTACAGTCTTCCAGCTCTCTGCTTATATTTCTGAATTGGTTCACTTCTGTCAGAACACATCCTTTCCTCTTCCTCTTCCTCTTCCTCTTTCATGCCGCACAGTCCGTTATATAATGCCCTGAAACACCTTTCATGTCCTACTGTCATCTTTACCTCCATGCTGTCAGGGTCTGTATGATCTGACTTTATTCCTCTCTGCAAAGGCTGTTTTTTTCTGTGTGTGTTTTGCTCCAACCTCCTTTTCCACCCCCCTCCTACTCTCTAGTGCCTGGCCCTCTCTCTCCCGCTCTCTCCCTCTCTGGGTTTGAATTATTCATAAGTCTGTGTATGTCATTAATCAGCACTTGTTCAAAAGATATGATTGAGGATACGGCAGTGGTGGGGGGACATTGATCTGTCTCGGTGAAGACGAGGAAAAGGGAGGAAGTAAGCAACAAGAGGATGAAGAAGGAGAAATAAGCAAAACGACGGCAAGGCACGGCAGATCCATGAAGCTGGAGACTGGAGGACAGTAAAGTGATGAAGTGGGAACTGAGAACAGGAGGGGCAAGGGAAGGCAGTAAGACAGTCAGAGGAAAAAGGACAGCAGTGATGAAGCGTAATCAAGTGAAAGAAAAAAAAATCATCTAAGCCTGTTAGTCGCCAGCAGGCATCTGAACAGACATACGAGTTGATTGAGTTTATTTCCTGACTGGGGTTGAGAGGGAAACAGTGAGGACTGATAAAGTCGATGGGTCCACCGCAGCATGTGTGAAGGACCTGACAGTGATTTAGAGTAAAACATAAAGAGGGGAGGGGTGTACGGATGGAAAAGGTTAACGCATTGATCTAGAGGGGTAAAACAAAGCGAGGAAGCAGAGGAATAGGCTGTGTGTCTTTGGCAAATCAGGAAACACTGATAAGAAGCTGCTGTGATCAAACGTGCACAGGGACTGTCAGAGGCCAAACCGCTCTCCTCGATTTGTCTCTCTTTAGGGCACTCACTGTGGCTTCCCAGGCACTGATCCTGCCAAAGATCCGTCGCTAATCCACAAAGCATAAAAAGCAAGTCAGCTGGAGAGAGTAGTGGGTGGGTTGAAGATCTGTGAAGTTCGCCGTGAAGGGTGACAGAGACTCTCTGTCAATCAGCGACTGATGCAAGCCCACTGGGACGAGTACATTGCTCAACATCAAACGCATTTCTGCCGCTTACACAAGCCTTTCTTTCACATCCTTCAGCAGCGGCGGTCCTCAGGGGGCATCCAGACTTCCATCGGCAAACACTGAAAGATCACAGCTGGTGAGCAAGAGGGCAACGCCTAAAACCACTCTGTGCCTCTGCTTCACAGAGACATCCAAGTCTCCAGAGGCATCGTGCAACCAATCCAGGGAAATCAGCACTGAGTGGCAGAAATGTGTGCTTATCTGCATAACAGCACACTGCATATATCCAAACACTAGCGTCAGACAACGCTCTCTATACTATACCATATATACACATATATATTCATATTTTTAGACATGCTTTTGGTGCTCATAAAAGACATGGCACGGACTTGTGCTGCTGTCAGTCTAACAGATAAATATTTCATGTTTTGTTGTTTAGCTTTACTTTTATCACCTGCCTTCCTATACTGTACCTGAGCCTCCGACATACACTGACACAGCTGTGCATATCAAACAAAAACGTTGCCATAGCCTAAATACGATGTGCATAATTATCCGTCCCCATAAAACCTTTTAGCGTGCGCTGTTTCCATGATGGTTTATCTGCAGTTCAGGTGATGATCACTTCTTGAAACAAATCACTCAATCTTTCCACACTGAGAGCTTCAGCTCCTGCTAGCTTGGGAGGTGGTCATGGTTTTTCTCTCTGCTGAAGTGATTTATTCAACAAGAGATGTTTGACAAGCTCCTCCAGTTGTTTTGACACTTCTTCCGTCATAAAAGCTAAGCATTCAAACTGACATGGATCAAGCTGACCACCAATTTGTAAACGTACGGGACAAGAGTGCTCGGATGGAATTGGAATTTAGGCAATTTTTAAGTTTTGCTGTAGAGCAGAAGGAGACAGATATCTATGCGCTGTGGTTTATTTACACCAGGAAACCAAGTGTGAAAAAATGGACCGACATCCTACTTTAGTGTTGTAGTTTCAGAGGAGAAAGAGAAATAAAGCATAAAATTATATTAAGTAATCCCCCCGAACATTTTATCAGGTTAAGAAGGTTACATTTTGTCAGTATTTTCTACTTCCTCTTTTTTTTCAGCTGCCAAAGATGCATTGTCCAACCTTGAAAGAAACAGCAGTTTTATAAAGGTAAATACAATTATTCAAGAATCTGTTGCAAAGCATTTGCTGTTAAGAAGAAAAAATATATCCACATCTACGTGTAATTTCACCTACAGTAAGTTATTGGTCCTGACTGACCACCATCTCAGATTCATTGGTAAATCAATAGTTCTCGTCCTAATTGTGTTATTCTCTTGGTAACATATTACCAAGTTGAAATACTGGAATCAATTAAAACATATCAAAGCATAACAAATGTGATTATAGCACCCCCTAATGGGCTGGGAGGAGAAGTAAGAGAACATTGTTGCCTACTAAGAAATCCCTGTTTGTCTGGTTTCTGACCTAAAACACATTTTCAGATTTGTTTAGTATTGTTACACGGACAGAGGTAATTGTTCACTGTTTATTCATGCAGTCCTATATCTCTGGAGCACCAGTTCGCCCATGATTATTTTTAACAAGATTGTCACCATACAAATGGGAAATAACCTGATTTACATGGCAGACAGTATTTCTCAAACACATTCTATCATTTTGTAAAACTCCAGGCTTGTGTGCGTTACCTGGTTCCAGCTGAATGTTGCGTCCTCTATGCAGGTAGCTGAACTCCTGGCAGCTTTTGCTCTGGCTGTTGCCTCTCTGGGAGTAGCACAGCTCCTCCAACAACATCAGCGCCTTCTTGCACATGTCATCATCCCAGTCACCCGACATCCTCCAATCTGCATCGCACTTTGACTAGCAGTCAGCCAATGACAGCGCAGCACTCACCACCTTCTCCAATTAGGCAACACTTTGTTAAACAGGGAACCAGCCCTCTTCTTTTAAGAGGTGTGTTTTGACAACCGGAGAGGAGAAGGTGGAGGAAGCCTAGGGAGCGACGGCATTAAGGGAGGAATGTCAGAGGCTTTATGGGTTGTCTGTGTGACTGGATCACAGAGACTGGACCGATGAGCCCATGTATAACAGAGCGGCACCCATCCCTCCTCTCACTGTCCCTGAAAGAGATAAAAGGAGAAAACTTGCAGCTTGAGGGTCGGGGCATTAAAGAGCACAAATCAGGTTTTGGCAGATTGGTCACCTTTCCCATTAACTTTGAAAGGCTGGTGCCAAAATCACCAGTGTGTCCCTGTTAGATCAAGGACTACCTCAATATATAATAGAGCTTCATCATACTCCATAAATTAACTGCAAATAAAAAAAATTTACAGTCAGGTTCCATCTGTCCATCTTCTACTTTTATATCCTGTCATGGCTCATAGGAAGGGCCAAAACCGATGGGTCACAGGTTGGGGGTACACTAGTGTTTAAAAAAAACAATCCTTTAGAAAAATCCTGTAAGATGTCATAAAAGGATACTTGTTTACAACAAGTATTGAAATAACTAAAAAGAGATTATCACATTCAAACTTTAAATACATTTTCATTTACTTCTCTAAAGGGGTGGCGGTGAGGGCTCTTGGGCAAAAAAAGACACTGCACAGTCATTGTGCGGCTGAAACAAACTTAACAGCTGCGTTAATCAGCTTTAAATTGATCCTAAAGGTACAAGTGTAGTTTACATATTCAAAATAAATTTGAAAAAAAAGTAGCTGAATGCTGCGTGGGATTTGCAGATACAGAAGTTTAAATGTCCTTGTGTTTGACAAAGTAATGTCAAAGTTATCTGTTAAATCATTCATATATAAAGCATTCATAACTTTATAATAGTGCCATTTTGTAATAGGAGGATAGATGCTGCATAAAATGAATAATTAAATGGCTTAATGCATGTGTCATCTATTCAAGGACACGAACAACAACTGTTTAGCTGTACGCAGTGGGCTGCAATCCGTTTTTTTTTTCCTGGGACAGCAAAGGCATCACTGGAGTAACAAGGTTTAAGTTATATATGAGTCTCTAAATTGTCAGTTTTTCCAAAACTGGGTCTGAAACTGATTATATACAGTAGATTCAATTATTATGAGAGCCCATTTTTTTTTCCCCAGCAAAACATCGTATTCTGTAATTACAGCATAATTTAGATCATCAGAAAATCCCCAGGGAACACTTAAAAACAAAAGAACATGTTGCTTATAATTTGTTTTTAATGAAAAGGAAAATCCACAATAGCAAACATTAGAAAATAAAAAGCAGGTCTCTTGGCTAGAGAATTATTTGTGATTCTATATTTTATTTACTGTACTCCGAGTTTTCTACAAAAAAGCATTTAATCAACTTTAATGATGTCCCCCGGTCAGAGAGTTGTGAGCATTACCTCCACTGAGCTTGACTCAGGTAGTTCTGGACCATAATACATTTTCGAACCAATGCGAGAAGCTGTGCATCAAATGTTGTCATCATAAATACATATCTGGCCTGAGGAGAAGGATTTATGCCTTCAGTGCATAAATATATATATAACATAGTTATTTAATTAAGACCAAAAACAGGAGTCTGCAGAAAAGTGGAGAATGTTTTTGTCTCACTTTAAGTTGGAACCAGGGTTGAGCTCTTGGAAGCTTCAACAGGAAACGGAGGCTCACATCAGCTTCACTGGCCCCTCCCACACATCTTTTAAGTCGTCCCAATATTTGCGTAGACTATGTTTGACTTTCTGCACCTCCACCTGCAAAAGAGAACACAGGGTGAAACTGCACTTAATCATTAGCATTATTTAGCAACATCCATGTGTCTTCTTTACTTGTGCAATAAGTATCCGACGTTATATTTTCTAATGCTAATTAGTATTTAAAATTTCACAACATTTTTCACAACTTGTTTCTTGTATCGTTCATTTTGTCTAGTGTAGTGCCTTATTTCTATTTCTTACTGCCGCAGTGTATTTCTTACTGCAAGTAATTTGGCTCTGGAGTGAGCCTTGCTTGGTTTTGGGTACAAATGGCCAATAAAAATCTTGAATCTTGTGAATAAAAATTCTCTCCATGAAAGTAAAATAACAATAATATGTCTACTTTTTATAGAAAAAAAAAGTCCACCAAGCATGGTGGCTTTTGTAGACAAGCAGTGGCTGGAAAAAGTGGTTTGCCTCCATTTTCTGCAGTGCCCCCATTTTGTACAGAGGACAACTGTTGAGCGCCCCCTGGCACCACTCAACACTTTTACAAATTTTGAAACTCTACCGGGCCTCATTTGAAACACTGTAATCACAACCCCCCATTTTGGAAGCACGTGACTAGCTCAACCTGAAACAACACAATTCAACATGGTATGTCTTTTATATACAATCTACAAATTGAATATGAATGTATTTGACCTTATTCTTGCCCAGTGTGTCTTCCCGTCTGGCTGCTGCATGTGTGAAAGTCTTGTCCTTTCATTTTAAAATTAGACTTCTTTAGCATATTGTCTTTGTTTTGAGCTCATTCTGTCTAAATAAAAGCGGGTCAATGCCCAAACTTCAGTGTTTCACAGACTCTTAGGCTCCGGAGACACTGCCTGAAGAGATTAAATGCAAAGCTGTGTCTAAGAATATCAAAGGTAAATTGAAGGAAAAAAAAAAAAGAATATGTCTGGCCAAAAGTTGTCTACAGGCCTTTGTCTGGTTTGAAAATAAATCACTGGAAAATATATATTCATGGTGAGAGGCCAGTTCACTTTCCAATGAAATGTTTTTGTCCTTGTGAGGTGGAGAACCTATTTCTCAAACAAGAGGCCGTGTTGGACAGGGTAAGGACTATTGATCAGTTGATGTATGTTGTTCTGTGAAATGTCAGTGTCAGTCTTTGAGCATTGAGTGGTGCCTCCCTTGTGCTGCCCTCCTCGTGTGTCCATCTGCCTCACGGCCATCAATCACCACATTAGGCAAAGACATATTTCACTCTGAACAAGATCTGAAACAAGTGCTCCCCCCACTAGCTTTTGACTTTTCTCTCTGTCCTGTCGGATTTCGACAGAAACACACTTTGCTCTGGCTCTGTGTCTGTTTCTGTCTCTGATTGTCACATAAGTGCGTGGGTCTAAATACAACTCACATAATTCACTCCATTAAACTGTCCGTCATGGCGCAGTCAACTAGAACTGAATCCTAAAGTAGCAAATCAGAACGCCATCTCATCCCGACATCCTGCATTGACCTTTATATGCTTGCACCTTCAGTCCACCTTCACTCTTCCCCCATTAAGATAGTAAATCAGTCTGATTGACTTTAAAACCCCAGATATCTCAATCAGAAGAATGGCTGTCTGGCACAAGACTGGCCACCTTAATGCCAAGGAAAGCATTCGAATGGATAGGACGGAGGAAATAGAGGAGTCAGACATAAAAGGAGAATTCCGAGACGGTTAAAGAGAGAGAACGAGGGAGGGAACGGAAAGATAATGCTGTCATTAAACTGAAAGCACATGGAATTAGAGGGAAGAAAGAAAAAGTAGTGATAAGGCAACAGTTGGTTTAAAGTACAGGGATGCATATCACTGTAAGTACAAATTTTCACAGGATCTTAGTACTGACAGATGAATATGTCATCTAACACATGTCAGGGGATAGCTTCACTCGGATAAAGTCATGCAGAGAAACACACATTCCAAGTGGAGCAACACTAAACCTCCCACAGATGCTCCATTGACTGCTGCTCAAGCTGGGATCAATAATTCCAAGGAACGAATACGCCACAACACAGACCAGTCAACCAGTAAGGTCACAGTCCGATTGGCCAGATGAGGCAAGGTCACAGTCTAATCACACTGTGGGAAATAGGAGATTCAGGACATGCAGGTGCTGTCCAAAAACTGTGCCCAATTACCAGAAAAAAAATCTAACTTAATCGGTCTGAAAAAACTCCCCCTGAAACAGTGGACACAGGCCATTCGTTAAAAACTCAAATTCAATGATACAGCGGCCAGTACGGTAATGCAACTTCAACCCTTCACGGGCGGTGCGAGCAGGACAGCTCACCCCTCCTGCTAATTACTTAGGATAAGAGCTTCGGCTAAATGTCTCATTTTTAATGGCTCTGTCCAGCCGTTACATCCTCAATCTAGCTTATAGGCGATAAAGCAGATGAGGCGTTCATGTTTGTTCTCGCTTATAATGAAAGGATCATTCCTGTATGTGCACAGGACTGAAGGATTTGGAGCTACACTCAGCATAGACGGAGAATGCTAGAATTTACTAAATTGAATTTGATGGAAATGAGAATCTTCACTTGTACATAGACAAAAGATTACAGGTTACACATTAAAAATGCAGCACACAAACACTGTTTATTACTGATTTTTTATTACCCAATTATTATTAATGTAATACTAAAGGAAATTACCAATTTCTTCAATCAGCACAGCTTATATTTACACTTTTCTTTCATTAAAAAGTCACAATTGAGCAAATATCCTTGAACGACGTGAAGGTGAATTTGTTGAAACCCGAGGGGTTGGGTTTTTCAGTAACAAGTATCATGTGAGTGAGGCTGAAATCTGAAATCTGTAACAGGCATCTGTCTGTGGGGGATGAATCACACACCTCAGCTGGGTTTAGGAATGACACTGATAAGGCATTTGAAATGCAGCTGCCTGCTGAATGACAAGGATAAAAGAGACACTCGGATGCTTTCCGCAACCTTGTGATCAACTTGAAATCCTGTATCAACATCCAACATTTCAAGTTGTCGTGATATTGTCTGTGAACAATGGACTCATAATTACAAAATGTATCTAAGAGTCAGTCTCTTTTTTTTGAAAGGAAACATAACGCTTTAGTAGACAAAAGCGTCTAATCCACTGAATACAGTTCGTATATAATAGGATGTTTCAGGCATTTTTCACTGAACCTGCCGTTAAGTCTTCTTATCTAGTGCCATGCTACTTCTTTTGTTTTCATTAGTACCTGGAAGTCATTTTTAAGGAAATCTTTAATCCTTTTCCTAAATGGTCCTGAGGTTTTGTCAGGGACTGTAGTGAAGTGATGAAGTGTAAAAGCAAATTTCGCTCTTCCAGTGTGTAGCACCTTCAGATTTAGCTAACTTTTTTTTCCCTGCTGCCTGGCAGTTCCAGCTCCAACATTCCTTCATTCGATTCATCTTCTACTGGATAATCTTTCTTATTATTGAGTGGGCGGCTCAGGCCAATCCCAGCAGTCTTTGGGAAAGGGCAGGATTAACACTCAAAAGGTTTTCCAGCCCATCACTAGGCCTGGTATATTCAAACAACCCTTCATACACACCTGTGGGCACAATGACAAAACACAAACTCTATGGACCAGAGACTGAAGTCAATAAAGATCAAAATGGTGAACTTTTGCTGTAAGGCAAAAGCACCAACCGCACATCCATCACGTGGGCCCAGATCCTACATCCTTACTCTAATACATCCCCTATCTCTTCTCAGCAGGCGTCCAAACCCTCTCATCCTTGCTTCTCTTAATTAACCTCCAAACTGCTCAGCTGCAACCCCAACTGTCCCACATGTGGCCAAAGGGGCATCTGGTAACCAAATGGAGCCCACAGAAACTGCCGGGTTCAAATCTCTATCAATTTTCACACATGCAGCCAAATGGATGTGGTGCACTCATACAGTACACATATGAGTTTTAAACATTTCTATTTGATGAAGTTTTACTGTCAAGACAGGCGGTCAAAGCAGCTTTAAGGCAGCATAACCAGCTTTAGACCTGTTGCTATAGTTACTGTCATTATTATTGCTATAACATAACTCCTCAACCCTCTCAGCTCTTTCTTTTTATGTCTTGGGGCTGGTTGTAGCTTATGAGGCAGTGCAGTTGCCTTACACCCAGAGGTGTAAGGTTCGATTATAGACTTTAGGTTAAACAGTATGCCACCCCCTGGCTGTCATTGGTGTGATAGCAGAATGTCTTTGGTTGTTCGACAGAACTAGAAAAGCATTATATAAGCACAGACACCATCTTAACTTACCCTCATCCCCCATTCCTTCCCCTTCAGTCTGGATGTCAACACTGTCAATTGGAGTTGCTCCATTGCACCATAACTGTCGATTATACAGACTAAAATGTTTTGTTTAGTTTTGTGAATTTGGTATACATAAATAAAATGTATTTCTAATATTCTGATTTTTTGCAGCTTCTCTAATTTTGCATTTCTTCTAATTGTCATCGTTAGTATTATTGAATCTGATATCTGTTGGGCCCTTTGGAGCTGCATCATGTTGTCTACCACCTTAAAATCAATAGCCTCATGCACCGTCAGATCATCCTCCATGTGCACGATTAATTTGTGGAGTTCATGACCTCACTCCAGCAAAGCTGGCATTTCCTTCTTTCTGTTTTGCATCACTTCCTTTTGAGGCCACAGCCAAGTCTCCCTGACACAATGCTATCATCGCTTCCCTCTTCCTACTCATTTGTCTGTTACGGATTGATGCACAGGACCTACAAGAACAGGCTGCTACAACCCATCTCTCTGGTCACTACAGTGGAGAGATTCTCCTTTCCAGGGACAGAAACGCTGCCATATAAAGCCAAGACTGAATGCGGGGATATTAATGTCTATTGACTAGAGGTAATAGCTTTCCTGAGCCTCAGCCTCGAGGTTGTTCCAATTTAGCCTCTCCTGTAATAGCTCCTGGAGACCCTTTCAGCAAATAAATAACACTAGGTGAGAAAGAGTGGCTTGTAATATCTGTTTAAGACCATAAATCCTGATAAACATGCAATCAAACATGGCCTCACATTTCAGTTGGTATTAGCTGTCTTCTTTTGTCAGGAGCTGCTTGTCCCACATTCACACATATCAAACGGTGGCTTCTCAGAACCCACTGCTTTTTAAGGCAGCCGGCCTGTTGGAGCTAAATTATCTATAAGATGAGACGGAGCTCAGCCAGGAACCCAGAGATACTGGTGCTGCTCTTCCTGTCTGTTGCACAGCCAATGGAGCTGCAGAGAGGGACCTCTTTACAGTCACACACACATATATATATTAATAAATTCACACACTGAGAGACAAACAACCGCCTTCACTTTATTTTTCATCTACTGCTATGTCAGAGCCAGTGAGTCAGTGTGTTTCAGTGAGTGCTTTTTTTTTTCTAAATCACTTGAATACATTTGGTTCCTGTTGTGGGAATCCACAGCCAGTGTGGGCTTTGATGCTTTGGAGTGGGATGGGGCTGGATGGATGCTGCGGGGCGGGGTGGTAGGGGGCCCTTCGGTGTGGGTGTGAAGGGAGGGAATACGCACGTCTTACGCACGTCAACCTGTTTTCCCGAGTATTTTATGCGTGCCCATGAGCGTGCACCCCACTCTCCGTTCGCTTTGTATGCTAAACGCGTTTGCACGGGGGAGAAAAAAAAGTTAAATCACCATCATCAGTGAGCACAGCAGCCATTGATACACTCGTATGAACACGGATAGGATCCTGTAATCTGCTGTACGTGCGGGTCCTTCATCCCACATAGAGGCTGCCTGCATCCCACTCTGTGTCCACGGAATATGGAGCCCACTGTTGGCTGAATGCACAAACGCGCTGGAGCCAGGATGGATGCAAAATAAATATAAACATTAAATATTGAGGGGAAACAGACACATGCCGCTGAATTTAGGGCACATCCAGTACAGCTGAGTGCGGGACGCAGGGTGAAAGGAGGATGCGGAGTAGAGCTGGAGGATGCTGCTGGACTGGAGGGAGCAACAAAAGAGAAAGATTTCTTACCTTAGCGTTGCAGAAACCGCTGCCTCCCTCCTCTGTCCGATTTCCGATATGGGCTATTTTAGTCAGATGCGACGCATGTAAAGGGGCATTCCACCTTCGCTCCTCCCGCCTCTATCTTTCTCCCTCGCTCTATCTTTCTCTCTCCAACATGCACCGAGCAATAAGCCCTGCAACCTGGATGGCAGACGGAGGGAGAGAAATGAACAATTTAATACCTCTCTCTTTCTTACCCCCTCTCTCTCTCTCTCCTCTCCTCTCTTTTCCTTGCCGTTTCCTGTGTTCTTCTTTTATATTTTGCCCCCTCCTTGTGTTTTTTTCCTCCTCTCTATTTCACTATCTCCTCCCTCCCTCCCTCCCTCCCTCCCTCTCTCTCTCTCTCTCTCTCTCTCTCTCTCTCTCTCTCTCTCTTGCACGCTCCCTATTTTTCCTCCCTGTGCTCTGAATACTAATAGTCTGTCTCTCCTCTCACTGCCTTTACAGTCCTGCCAGTGCTAAGTGCAAAAGAAATAGTGGCGCGCGTGCGTGTGTGTGTGTGCGTTTTGCTGGGAGGCCATGGTGGAACTGTAACAGTGGAAGGAATTGCAACTCTCAGCCTGGAGGGCAGTAAGTTGTGTTGGTTTTATTTTGGTATTTTCTATATATAATTTCCAGAAATTTAAGAAATAAAAAATAAAAATGGGTCTGGAGCCATGAACTGAAAGAGTGGTATGTGTCACAGCCTTTTAATAAGAATGTCCCCAGTTCAATCCTTAAGGTTAACTCCATATCTGGTACTACAAAGTCTAACTGTCCAACCTCTGGGACTGGTACCAGCTGGTCAGCAACACCTGAAAATGATTAGGTGGAAAATCAATAAAAAAATATTGAATTAAGACAAAAATGAGACGAGGTCATCCATGTATCATTGCACTGTGAGATTACTTGGTTTAAGGGTTACGTTTTAGGATTGAGTATCAAGACAGCAGCACCCAAAGACTGACACAGGGGTCACCTCAGTTGGCTGTCCCAATTTATTTATTTATTTACAAGTTACAATAAATGTTTTATTTTATTGAACTTCCAGAACTTTTAACAACTTTTAAAGCTATTGGTTTCTCCTTCGTAGAAGAGGACGTGGATCTTACACTTATGTTATGTTATGTTTCCACTCATCATGTCATGTGTCATGGAGACCTGAGTAAGAAAAGTGACCGAGGCAAACAAAGGCCACGGTCTCCTCAGAACGAGACACAGTCTCAGTGGAGTCATGATTAGAATATGATATTCCTGCAGGCCTCATATAAGTGCAGAGGGAGATAAAAATGTTCCTCTGTTTTATGGTTACATCACCAGCGGGATAATGAGGACCCTTCATGGTCAGTGAGGAATAGGTGTGGACCTTGGATGGAAGTTTTTCTTTTTAATAGCCTGTATATGTTGCTGTGAGATGTTGCATTAGCACCCACCATCTTACACATTCCTCCTTTTCCTTTTTTCTCTCAGCAAGGTCTTCTAGTATAGTCTGTTGGGTGTTGTGAAGCCCAGTGCAGTTTGTTTTTTCACACACAATTGGAAGCATGGGAGAATAAAGGCTACAAGACATCTGGGAATCCAACAAAAGACTGGCTGCTGTGCAGACTGGTGAGTGGTCTGCTGTGGAGCTCAGCCACAGGTGACTATTTCTGTCGACGTCTGACCTCTGTGTAAAAAAATACCGGTGATAAATATGAATGGCACATGAGAACAAATCTGCATAGTTTCCATTGCATTAGCATAGCACTGCTATACTGCTTGATGGAAATAAACATGTTACTATGGTTGTTATAAAGGGACTCATTAAAATTCATAGTTCACATTTATTTCATTTTAGTAATTATTATTCACACACTGGCAATTGCTGCCATTGGATTTACATACGCAAGAAGAAAATGTTCAGAGAGAATTTTATTTCATGGTGAAAGGATCCAAAAATGGCTTGTTTGGAGTTGAAATTTCATCACTCATCTACCTTAGTGACATGGGGGAGGTAGATATGTGTTGATCAACTGACAAAATAAGAATTCTTTCTCATATATTTCACACACAGTAAAGACTAATCACAACGTCGTACATATGCAACACTAATAGTCATAACAACAGCGAAGGACATGTTGTTTATGATGGTGGTAAAAGTTCTTCTCTTCTCGCTTGAGCTGTGGCCCGTAATACTGCAAACAATCCCTTTCATTCATTCATTGTTCCACCACTTTATGCTATCACAGAGTATCAACTGAGCTCCAGCCAATCCCAGCTGTCCATCATAAAAGATGGGGGATCTGCCAGTTCTCTACACAGTAGAATCAAACAGTGTTTCAGTCTCTCTAATTGACCAAATCTCCACTCTACAAGTTTTTGGACCCAGAGAAAGGCTGTACGTGCTCAGGCACGTGATACAGAAAATAAAATCACTATATTATTGTGAATGGTAAAGGTTTAAAAATGTTGGCATCAACCAACCACAGCCTACAGTACTTGGTACCTGGACGGACATGTCCACTTTCTATAATCTGTCTATGAAGCATCTCCTTACCTCTGTCCTTGCAGCCTATTTCTGTGGTTTGCAGCCTACATTGTAAATATTGCGTTGATGAGACATTAACAACTCAAGTCTTTATTTCTGGCTCAACATTCTCATGGCAGATGTGCCTGTTGTGGTGATAAATTTACATAGTGAACAGGGCTTCTGATTCTCCTTCTCCTCTATGATATATGGCTAACGCCTACAGGACCACCAATCACCGATGACGTTCCTTCATTTGTTACTGTCAGTACAGATATTTCTCCTTAAAAAATACTTCAGGTCCTGTTGTTTCACTGCACAGAGAAATAAGTCATTGGTCATGTCTGGGATAGAACGGGAAGCCTGGGAATAATTCATTTTCAGACACAAAGTCCTGGGATGTGTTGTCAGTACGGTGGCAGGCACCCTTGTATTTAAAGACAGAATGCTTATGAATTAATCACTGTCTCAGACCTGGTCCAAAAGCCCAACAGGCCAAACAACACAGAGAACAACCACGCCTTATGAAAAACATCACAGTTAAAAATCAACACAGATTCAGCCCTAAATTTATAATAAATTATTTTGGTTTTTTTTTGGGTTAGGGTTAGGGTTAGGGTTTTTTCGGTGAGGAGAGCAGAATATGATAACATAGCGAGGGAGTCTGAATCAAATTACCCCAGTTTAAAATAATACACTTTCAATTCTAACAAGAGGAACATTTTGAGACAATTACTTTGTGAAAAATATTCCAGAATCATATAAAAGCTACTGAATAAGGATTTTTATCACATTGATATAAAAAGAAAAAGAAAACAATACATGTCTGGCCACTTCTGATATTTATCAATTGAGCGACTAGAAATATGATATAATATATAATGCATTATCTTCTAATTCTATTTGAGCATCATTGTCGTGATTATTGGAACAGCAATGCTAAATAACGAATGGAAAAATGGAATGAAACCTTGCAGCAGGTGATGATTGACTGATAAATGAGAGTAAACAGTGACCTCTGTTAGCTGTCACAGCAGCACAGAGAGGGAGGCTGAGGCACACAGCAGAGGTAAACAGAAAAAAGAGGGGAGGATGGGGGAGAAAAGAAGAGGAGAGGAAGGGACAGGTGAGGAGAGGAGAGGAGAGGACGTACATGCTGAACACCATTTAAATGGAGGTTTGACCAACAGCTACCTCCTCTACTATGATGATATCAAGCTGTATATGTAGGGCAGGTGCAATTGCCCTGGAATCAAGGCAAGTGGAAACTAAACTAAGAGGAGGCAGCTAGCAAATCAGCCACAGACGAGGCCCTCATTGAGTGTGACAAATCCAGAAGATTCTGCTGAATGGAAAGAGCAAGGTCACAGCCTTTAACACATACGACCTTTCTGTCATTAGACACCCTGATAAAATAATCAGCTAGCTGAAAGAGATGGTGGATAAACTGATAAAAAAAATAAGGAGGGTGAGGACAGTCTTCAACCTTCACCCCAAAAATTCAACCTTCACCCCTAATCACCACAAAATAGCAAGATACAAGATGCTAGCTGGGATAGCATGCACGTAACAGGATAAGCAGGTGTCTACATTGTGTGTATCAGCCGAGTATGATGTGAAAGTCCTAAGACCAGACATGAAGACACGTCCTAGGATGGTGAAAGAGTAATAAGCTAAAGTGTTGTCTGACTTCCTGTCTGACGTCCAGACTGACAAGTTAACAATGGCAAATCAACCAGACATGTTATTGATTGACAAGCAACAATGGAATGCTGTCACAACAGAGACAGCAGTCCCATGTCGTAGGAATAAAAGACAGAAGGAACAAAAAAACATATTGAAAAAATGTCAGATGGTTAAAGGAGGAGCCAGAGAAGGTTTGAGAGGTGTAGCAGCAGCATAGCCCGTGGTGTTGGAGCAACAGATGAACAGTAAAATCATTCATTACAGTTGGCACAACGGTCAGCCATCTTGGTTTTGGTCGTCAGAGAAGATGATGAGTAAGAACCACAGTTGGAGGCTGTACAGTGTATGCCTGTTACTGTTAGACATCTTTAGTCATCTTTCATCAACCACGTTTTTAAACACAAGTGTATCACTGTAACCACGAGAATGTATCTGTTGCGTGTGGGGGAGTGGGGAGGGCATGTGTCCCCTCTGGTGAGGCAGGGCAAGAAAAAGGAGAGAGAGTCACCAGCATCATTTTCAAAGTGGTGGTGTTTGCCTATATGCTCTGTCTTGTCTGGCCAAAGGCGACGAACAGTCAAAGTTGTTCACGAGTTTCACTCTCACTAAGCAGCACCAAGAAAAAGAAAAATACAAAAGAGCACATTGGTTAGATTTAACATCTGTCAGACAGATTCCTGAGGCTGCTGATCAGGCCGCTGCTCAAATCACGGTTTATTAAAGTTTGATTCTGTTTCACTGTTTATACCTCTGGACATTCCCATTATGATTATAAGAGGAACTGCTTGGATTCTAAAGGCAGGGCGACATCCATTAGTCCAACCAAACGAAGAAAAAACAAATAAAACCAAATCTGAACAAAATAACACAAAGACAGATTCACAGTGGCTGTCTGCAGTGAGGATGGGTCTCTACGGTCCTGTCTCACTGACCTCCCGTTCTTCTGTAGGTTTATGTCTCTGACTTATTAGGACCAATTGGAACCTTGTTAGGTTGCAGGGAAACAGCTCTTGTTAGGGTGTAAATTCCAGATACGTGGAGCATGTGCTATCTTACTGAATCAATAACGTGGGGACTAATTGCTGTGCAT